GCTGTACTGGTTAGTTTTAAGTCAACCTGACACAAGCTGGAGTCATCAGAGAGGAGGAAGCCTCAATTGAGAAAATGCCTCCATATGACCAGGCTGTAGACAAGCCTATAGAGCATTTTCTTAATTAGTGATTGATGGGGGAGGGTCCACCAATTGTGGGTGGTGCCATCCCTGGGCTGACAGTCCTGGGTTCTATAAGAAAGCAGGCTGAGCAAGCCATGAGGAGCAAGCCAATAAGAACTTCTCCATGGTCTCTGCATCAGCTCCTGACACTAGGTTCCTGTCCTAATTTCCTTCCATGACAAACAGTGATGTGTAATATCCACAAAATAAACCCTTTCCTCCCCCAAGTTGCTTTGGTCATGGTGCTTTATCACAGCAACAGTCACCCTAAGACAGTTGCCTATAGCAATGACAGAAGGAGGAGATACTAGGAAAAATCATCCTTTTCTTTTGGCCACCAAACACTATTTTTAAAAGATTCTGTATTTCTTTACCTCTACTTATTCTAATCTTAGCTAAAATTGCTTCACCGATATCCTGCAGTTCCTATTGCTACTCCCTTCATTTTCCTTCTTCTCCTTTTCTCAACCAACTCAATATTAATCACTAATCACTATCTACCTTTTTCCTTCTCATGCATATTCAGTGACTAGTATCTCAATACACAACATGCCATCCGTGTTCCTGTACTTACTAAGATGATTGGCACTTAAACGGAATTGTGTTATGTTATAGGTTCATAGTGGGCCTAACCTGATAGAGATTGTATCTGCAGACACTCTTCTATTTTTAGGGGTGTACTGAGATTTTAAGTATATCCAAAGCGATCAAAAGAGGATACCAATAAATTCCTGGACAAACCTCAAGAGACTACAAAGGGCTTAATGAAATAAGGTAAAGTACAAATATAAATTGAAATTCAATAAGTAGATAGAAATACTTGAAAAATAATTGAATACTAAACCCAAGAAGTCAAATAAAAATCTGTGCAGAAAGTCTCATTGGTAGAACAAATCAAAGTAAAGATGCAATCAATATCTGGGTTTAAGACAAGGTAGAGAAATTGGAACATTCAGAAAATGATAAAAATAAATTAACTGGAAAGTATCAATGGAACATTTGAGATCTATGGGATACTATAAAAAATCAAATCTACAAATCATGTGCATAAAAGAATGAGTCATGCTAAAGGCATAGAAAATATTTTAATTAAAATCATAGCAGAAAGTTACTGAATCTAGGGAAAGACTTGCCCATTCAAGTAATAATGCATTTAGAGCAACAAACAGACAAGACCAGAGAAGAAGCTTCCTACTTCATGATAGTCAAAGCTAGGCGGGGTGGTGGTGGTGGTACATGCCTTTAATCTGGGAAGCACAAACAGGCTTGGTCTACAAAGTGAGTTCCAGGATAGCCAGAGCTGTTACACAGAGAAACCCTGCCTCAAAAACCAAACAAACCCCAGGAGATGGTGGCACACACCTTTAATCCCAGCACTCCGGAGGCAGAGGCAGGTGGATCTCTGTGAGTTTAAGACCAGCCTGGTTTACTGAGCAAGTTCCAGGACAGGCTCAAAACAATACAGAGAAACCCTGTCTCAGGAAAAACAAAAACAAAAAAAACCAAACAAACAAAAAAAGAATTAGCTTTAAAGAATGACAAAAATTACCTGCTGACCAAGGAACTGGATCTATTCCCAAACTCTGAAAAATGACACTTGAATTATATTCTGGTTTTAACACTTCCTGATGTCTGGGATCAATTTTAAAGAAGTCACTGGGAACCACTTGCAGCAATCCATTCAATTTCCTTCTTAAAGACTGAAGAGACAAGGAAGTGACATCAGATCTCATCATGTACACCGTGATACAATCCAAAGCTTTATCTCAAAAGATAAGAAAACTTGAAAATAGCTGAGCACACTGGGGCACATCTGCAATCTATCACTCAGGAAACAGACATGAGAATTATAAATTCTAGGAGGGTCTAGGTTACACAGTAAGTTTAAGACCAGCCTATATCTATAACTCCAGCACCCAAAAGGCAGAGGCAGGTGGGTGAGGCTATCCTGGTCTACAGAGGGAGTTCCAGGACAGCAGGAATACACAGGAAACCTTAAAAATAAAAATCACCAACAAATTTTCCTTTCTTTTTGTCAATTGCTTTCCAAGCTCATAAAGCTGCCTCCTTTGGACAGTATGGGGAACGTTAAAACAGAGTCTCCCTAGGTAGCACTGGCTGGCCTGGAACTTACTATGTAGATGAGGCTGACCTCTTTGGGTGATTCTGTCTCTGCCACCCACAGGCTATAGGGTTACAGGCATTTAGGAGACAGAAGCAGGATGAGGCCAACATGATCCACCATGGCGCACTCACACCCTCTCTCTCTTACAATTTTTTGGGGGAAAGGTCTAAGTAGCCTTGCCTGATCTGAAATTCCCAATGTAGACTAAGTTAGCCTTGGAACCTAATGACTTGTGGGACTAAAGGCACATGGCACCTCATCTGCCAGGTTCACCACTGGGGCTTGTACCGTAGACCTTGTTGTGGCAGCACAACGGAATAACCACACCAAAGGCCAACAATGACTCAATACTCAAAAGTTTCATTTTTAAAAAACTCAATCTTTAGATGCTGTAGCTATTTGCACAATTTTTATCATCACGCAGCACTTTAAAATCAAGCCATTCGTTCCCCATGGCTTTAGGAAATGGGCATAGATAGGTATAAGTTTTCTGAATTAATTTCCTTTCAAGTGGTCAGCTGTCAGGCTAAGACTCAGAAGCACTGAAACAACCATTTGGAAAAACAAAAAAACAAAATCCAAAAACCAAAGGTGGGAACAGACCCCAGGCCTGTCTGTTCAGATTTTTAGCCTCTTTTGTGTTTGTGCCGTACCTTCCTTCTGGACAGAGGGCAAGGGCTCTGGAAACAAAGGTCTCATGAAACGAGGTAGGTCAGAGACTATCTGTACAGGCAGCCCATGAAGAAAGCCAGCAGCAATCACAGGCTATGGTCTGCTTTGCCATGAGGTGGTCCTAGTTTCTACGACTGCCCTGTGGGAATAGAAGCTTTGGTCTCTATGGCTCGATTCCAAGGACAGAGGTAAAGAAAGAGATAGGAAAACACCTTAATCCTGCGGCTGCACCTGTGGGTTTCCAATTGGCTGTTATTTCAAAATACTCAGCATCTCAATTCATCATACTTTGAAGTATCATTTTCTGGGACCCAGTAGGAAGTAGAAAACGTAGCCCAGAACTCCCAAGCTTTTAGCTACTCAACAAGCACTAAAAGACTCAATGGATCATAGTCTTTAGATATTAGATATGGTCCCTAAAAGTCTGTAAGGAGAAATTATGTGCTAAATTTCACTTCTCTAACCTAGTCAAAGTTAGTGAATGTCACAGCAAATTACTTTAGGAACATAAAAATATACCTTTAAATGTGGAATAAAAGACTTTTCATTTTGAAAGGCAATCACACTGGCACCAGCTCTAAGTAATGCCTCAGTCAGGATTCCAGGTCCTGGGATGTTAAGAGGGGAAAAAAAAAAAAAACCTTTATTTGCAAAATAAACAACATACTCACATACTACATACTCTGTCTCTGTCTCTCCCTATGTAGACTAGGCAGGCCTCAAACTCACAGATAAGTCTGGCTGACTGCCGAGTGCTGCCACCAAGCCCATTCCTTTTTTTGTTTGTTTTCTTTTTGAGATAGGGTCTCCCTCTGTAACCCAGACTGTCTTGCAACTAGCTATGCAGACCAGGTAGGCCTTGAACTCAGAGATCAGCTTTGCCTCTGCAAGGATTAAAGATGTGTGCAACAACATGGTCTCTTTCAAAGCAGACTTTTACACAAGTTTAAAAATCTCACAGCATTCCCAGATATGATTCTTTTTACACATGTAAAAAAGAATGGGTAGTTAACTGAACCAACAACATCCCAACAGGTAAATAACAAAGCATTCCAGGATGTCAGTGACAGCAAAACTTACAGTCCTCAACAACGCTCACAAGTTTTTGAGGAAAAAACAGCATTTAAGATTCTGGTTTACTTCTGACTCATGGACTATCTGAATGCAAACAAAAACAAACAAACAAACAAAAAACAATTCAGGGTCAATGAGAACGCTCAGAGGGCAAAGGCGCTTGGCCTCTAGCCTGACAACCTCATTTCAATCATCGAGACCCCACACGATGTAAGAAGTGACCCTCGCTAAGTTGTTTTCTGAACTAAACACACGCTCACACGATAAATAAATCGAATTTAGGAAATCAGGATGTGAAAGTTAGGAGCAAACCTTCTGCTCATCTCACCTGGATTGCACTCTAGTATAAGTTGACGGGATGGGTTGCAGTTGTACCCCAGCAGGTTTCGTACCAGGTTCCTGGCCAATTTCTTACATGCCACGTAACGCGTAGGATCGGATCGACTCTTGGGTGCAAAAAAGGGCGACTCCTCTAAATCAGGATCAAATAACGGCTGCATGTAGAAGTCAGAGAAGCTACGGCGGTTCTTTGCTTGCCAGTCCTTCCGCGTCGCACTTCCAGACCCCAGAAAGCAAGAGCGCCCGGGACCAGCAAGCACTGACAGCGCCAGCCGCGGAGGCAGCCCCACCGCCGGGCGCCACATCCTGCTCTAACATCCACCACAACCACCACTTAGGGTAGCTTCTGCCAAGAGCAAGAGGCACCACATACCACGTGCAACAGTACTGCGCCTCTCTAGGCCGGGCGGAAGAAAACACTTCAGATGGCGCATGCGAATGCCCGAGCCGCAACCCTTTCTTCACTCGCTTCCGCTTCCGCCCAGGCTCCGCCCCCAGACGCCTGTGAGTGGACTCTCCGGGTGTGTCCGGGTTGGAACTCTATGGTCGCCCGCCCTCGGCGCTTCCTCTCTAGCCTCTCGCACTCTATGCTCCTCGGTCCGGCGGCCAGCCGGGAGGGGCGCGCGGAGGGAGGGAGGCGGGGCGGGGAGGCTGGTGGTGTCCGATCCTCCGGAGCCGCGGGAGACCGGAGCCAGCTGTGTGACAGCTCGTCGGCCGCCATGTCAGCAAGCGGGGCTGGAGACAGACCCGGCGCCCGCCGGTAGCCCTTGCGTTGCCTCGGATGCCCAGGTGAGGAGAGCAGCCAGGCTGCGGGGGATCAGCCGGCTCGCCGCGGCAGCGGAGCTGCGGACGGTCGCTCGCTCCTCCCGGGGCGCTGTCCTCCGGGGGAGTTGCAGCGGGTCCCTTCGCATCCGCCCCCTCGCGGCTCCCCGGTTTTCCCCGCTCTTTGCGGGTATGCTGTTGTCGCGCATCGCGCCAATTTCTCCGCGCGCGCTCGCTTCCCCGGGGATCCTGCGGCTTCCACTCCGCGTCGGTGTCTCCGCTCGGTGGCCGGTCGTCGCCTGAGCTCGCTTTCCTGCTGGTGGATATTATTTGCCTCCATACCTTATTTCCCCTCCACCGCCACCTCTTTGGTTGTCAGGAACCGCCTAGTTGTATCCCTCCTTGTCCTCCCTCTGGGCCAAGATTTACCTTTTCTTTAATATGCATGTTTGCGAGACTTAAATTTAGGGCTAAACAAAAAAATGAGATTTGAAAGCTTAAAATTCTTTGCTATGTTTAAAAGGATTAAAGCCTTAGGAAGCGTCTTTATTCTTCTGGGTAAACTTAGTTAAGCACATTGTAGAATGCAATTTAAAAGGCCGATTGCAGACTAAAAATAGGATGCTCTAATGGGAATTTTGGCAGTCTTTGGGGCAGCGCTAGAAGATCCGATTCTTTCAGTATTTGGGGGATTGAACTCAAAGCTTTGCCCATTATCCTTTCCATCAAGGCAGGAAGAAGCTGCGGTCAATCAACTCCATACTTTAAAATATGTACAATCCTTTCTGCTTACTCCGCTGGCAGCATAATTGAGCTTGGCATTTAAATGCACAAGGAAAGAGTTTCTGAGGAATGTGTCACCTGCCACGTAGCCCGAAGATTATCCTTAGCTGATGAAACTCAGGGACATACAGAATTGACACCTGAAGATGCCTTTTTTGAATAAGTTAGTGAAGTGTAGGAGCTATTAACTGTTGTGGAAATCCCAAGGACTCCCTCACTGTTCTTAATTTTGTTAAGTTTGTTTGTTTGTTTAATTTCCTTCCCTCACTGAAAATTTTGTAGCCAGGCATGGTGGTGAAAGCCTCTAATCCTAGCATTCAGGAGACTGAAGTTCCACGAGTTTGAGGACAGCCCGGGATGCGTTATGAGTTCAAGGCAGGCTTAGGATATACTCAAACCATGTCTGGGAAAAGGAGAAAAAGAAAGATGATCATCCCCCCCAAAACGAGCATTTTGATAAACTCAGAGGTAGTCTAGATTTACCTCTCCCAGAGCAATATTTTAACAATTGGATCTAGCAAAATGACAAAGTTCACTTATCAAGTGTATCCTTGAGTTTTTCCGCTTTTAAAGTAAGCCTCTTAAGGCAAGGCAATATAATGTAATTCAGTGGTAGACCACTTGCTTCTTAGCATGTATTAGGCCCTGAATTCCATACTTGGCACCACAAAAAGTAAATATACTTAACACTGTGGGAAAAGTACATTTTTAAAAATTTCATAATGCCTGCCGACCACAGCCTAATCAGTCCTAGAGAACTTAGAACAGTGTTTATTTTGCTTTTTAACAGTTGGCGGGAGAGAAGTTATATTTATTTGTCCCCCATTCTTCATTAGGGACCGCACCCTGGACTTTGCACAAGCTAGGCAAATGATCTGCCTCATAGCTACCCCCCAGTACCCTGTTTTGGTTTGTGTATGTGGTACATGTGTGTATACATGTTTGTGTGTGCATGCACGTGTGTGCCCTGTGTGGTGTGATGTCAGATGACTCCTCAGTCACTGTCCACTTTACTTGTCTGAGACTTGTCCCTCTGCCTGTCCCTGACAGATTCTGTAAGGCTGTCTGGCCAGAGAGCACCAGCAATAAACCCCCTAAACACTGGGCTTATAGATTTGCATCTTTGGGGATCAGGTCTCAGGTGTTCATGCTTGCAAATGCTTTACTAACTAAGCCCTCGCCCTTGGTCTTTTGAAAGACTGACTGTAATTTAAACTGGTCTTAAACTCCTCCTCCTCCTGCCTTAACTGGGATTGCAGGCATGTATCATGCGCTCAGTTGTTTCCATTTTCATAGTGTTAATGGATTACTTGTTTGTTTGCGTCTGCAAGTACTTGAGTAATACAGAAACCACCCCCACCCCTAGGCCTCAGATGCTAAAAATGCAACAGTCATTTCACTTTTAAAATGATTTTTGTTTTGTTTTGTTTGTCTTGCAAGACAGGGTTTCTCTGTGGCTGTCCTGGAACTCACTCAGTAGACCAGGCTGGCCTCAAACTCAGATCTGCCTGTGAGCTCTGAGATTAAAGGTGCTCACCACCATTGCCCAGCTTAAAATGAATCTTATAATCAGCATTTATACCTACATTTTTAGAAAAACTTAGTTAAAGTTTATGTGATCACAATTGTGGTTTTTGTATCCTGTGCTGTTTTTGCCCCCTTGAAGTAATTGTTCTTCCTAATAGTGCTTGCTGGTTACTTTTGACTGTCTTTAAATTATTTTTCTTATTATGTTATCATAATCAAATTGCTTGAGAAAGGAAACTACTATTAGTCTTCTTGTAGCTTTTGAATGAGAACTGAAACTGGGAAATACTGGATGACAGTTCTAGTTTACATCATCAGATCCGAGCCTGGGGAAGAGATGGAAGACAATTCTAAAAGTTTTCTATCAGTCTCATGCACCAGGTGGGAATAGCCTTAATGGCTTTAATCCTCTCCACTAAAATTTGCAGTTCTGACGTGGTTCACATACACAGAACATCTTGATTAGGACTGATACCGTTGCAAATGTTCCAGAGTCACCTGTATCCAATGCCTCCCTCCCTCATTGGCTGGCACGTAGCCAGCCATAAGATTGGTGTTCGATGCTTAAAATGCCCTTCTACCCTGGGAGTCTGATTCTCTCTGAGATACCTGAGAACCCTTTCTTCTTATTTATATTTTTCTTTCTAAGTGCTTCCTTTCTCAAACTGAGAAGGTGCTGTGCAGGAGGAGGGCTCTAAGAAGCGTCTTCCTGCTCCTTGTTGACCCTGAACTCAGTCAGCACTGATGCCCAGCACTTGTTTAGTGAGTATAATAAGATGAATAGGGTGCTCAGTCATTTCCTGGGATGTCATTGTGACAGCTCTTTCCATCCCTATTTCAACAGCGTGTCAGGGCTGCATGAGTCTTTGTCTACCTAGCCTGTCGGCATCAAGTAGGGAGAACCAGGGGCCCTCTGAGACACTTGAACTTTGTTGTGAAACAGGTAGGATACCTACCTGCTGTTGTTAGGTTATTTCCTGGACCGGTTTCAAGAATGGCTAATGGTTTTGGGGGATGTGGTCCTCTGGAGACTGGTGTTTCTTATCAAGGGCAAGGTAATTTTTCAGGCAAGATTCAGAAGGGAAGAGGGTATGGTATTTTGGTTTTGAAACTGTGGGAACCCTAGTTTGTTTGCTAAAGGGAATTGTGGCTGTTTTAGATAAATCTGCTACAGCATCATCTAGATGCCTGCTAGGAACTGCTTTGCAGCAGGTGTGCTAATTCAAGTGACACCATCCGTGGTTGAGCTGAAGTAACCTAGAATCCAGCTAACCTCTGTGGGGATCCTGTCTTGGTCCTGTCTTGACTCCTGTGTTCTAGTAAGTTCCTAATTAATACTTCTTATCATTTAGTACAAGAAACACATCTGCATCCCTGATTGGTAAACAGACTTTCTATCTAAAATCCAGTCTTTATAGACCAGTTGACTCACTGTAAGGCAGTCTGTGGAGTGTTTACAGGAGCAAATACAGAGTTGAAAAAGGTGGATATACTAACTTTTGTGAAAGAGTTGTGTGCATTCTGGTAGTGTTTTCATTTGCATTGAAAACTAGACATTGGTGGCGGTTGTTGATTGTTGGCGGCGGTTAGTTTGATAAAAAGAATACAATTCAGGACCACAAAGAGAAAATTGAAGATACAGGCAAAAGGATACAAAGTATCAAATCCGCAGGATGATCAGGTAGACTGAGCTAGTGCACAGCCAGTAAGAGTGGCAGTTAGGACTAATGTAAGCTTTTGGCTAAGTGAGTACATTGTAGCCATGCCTGGGTGCATGGGGATAACTGACAGGATGATTGTGTTCATTTGTTTCGTTTTAATAACCGCTTTAATGTCCATGTATCTTATGTAATACACATGTATCTTATACAATCCCACTATATAGCTTAAATATGCAATGTACTAAAACTTGTTTTTTTTAGACGCAAGAGAATGGTGAGTTGGAGATCCGACAGAGCAACTTGGGTAACATAAGGAGAACCTGTTTCTAAAATCTAACCAAAAATCTAAAACAAGAAAATTAAAAACAAAAAAACGTATTTTTTTTCTTAAAGAAAAACAAGTTGGGTGAAGTTGTATATTCCTGCTGTCACAGCTACTGCAGAGGCTGAGAAAGGGGGCTCACAAGCCCGGGGGGGTGTTCAGCTTAGACAACATAGATCCCTTCTAAAAAAACAAAAAACAAAAAACATTGGTTTCTGCAAACTAGCCCTAGTAAATTTACTTTAATTATTTGAGGAACAAAACTGACAGCCTGGCAATTTTTCAGTTTCTTTAGAAACCACCTTTAATGCTTGATGAGGAGCTTCCAAAAGAGTTGTTCTGGCTGGGAAGGTCTGATGTCTTTAAACTGCTATGCCATTTTTTCTTCCGTTTTGAGCCTTTAAGATTTACATGAATACAGACTTTCCCTTGTGATCATCCCCATGAGAAAATAGATTTACTTTCAACAAGGGACTGCTTTTGTTTTTTAAACAATTGGAGTAATTCATATGGAATATTATTTTAAATGTAGTATACTCTAAAATTCTAGAGTTTTATGACATTTGGAGATTTCTGCGCGTGTTTTAGGCATGATTTTGAAATGACCATATTTGGAGGTGGGAACTTTGTGTCATGCCCCCACCCCCCACTGCCCTACTGTGCCATGCTATCTTAGGACTTCCTGTTTTTTGTCACCACTGGCCATTTGGAATGGAAAGGTGGCATGCATCTATCAAAACAATGACAAATCTGCATTTCCCCTGTTGCACTACCTAGTAAGAATTCTGAAACTGTAGCAAATTAGCACCCTTTAATGAAGTCTGGGCATTGACATTTTGACAGTATTTATGATTGTAGGAATTAGCATCATAGTCCCTGTGGTGATGAACACCTTTAATTCTTAAGAAAGAAGCCGAGGCAGTGGATTTCTGTGAGCCCAAGGCTATCTTGGTCTACATAGTAAGACCTTGTCTCATAGTAAATAAATAAAAAATAATTAATTTCATCTTGTGATTATATCTGTTAAATTTTCTTCTGAGAATGTCTACGTTGACATCCCTGAAAAACGGCCACCTGAGCAGTCATTTTATCCTTCCTCACTATTATCTGTGTTTTGAAAGCTCAGTGTTACTAGGTGGTGCTCACCTGAGCGGTCATTTTATCCTTCTTCACTATTATCTGTGTTTTGAAAGCTCAGTGTTATTAGGTGGTGCTGTTCTAACTGAATGGAAGCATAATAACCTCTTCAGGTTCTTGTAGATTTTGAAGTTAATGATTCTCTTAAAATATGTGTACCTTGTGGTGCAACAAAGCGTTGTTTTCCTGGGTCTTTAAGAGTATGGGATAAATGTTTCCTTGGGTGTTTGAGAATTTTTAGATGTACTGTACTTTAAGGCAGTTTGGCGCCTGCTGTTTCTTGTGTTATATGTATGCCTAGCCCTTCCTTATTCACAGTTTCTGTCTTTTTATAGTACAGTTCTTAGTACTGTAAACTTAATAAAATTACTGGGTGAACCAAAAGTCATTGCTAAAGATTTTTCAATTAGGATTTTGTTTTTTGAGACAGTGTTTCTCTGTATTGTTTTGGAACCTATCCTGGAACTCGCTCTGTAGACCAGGCTGGCCTTGAACTCACAGAGCTCTGCCTGCCTCTGCCTCCTGGAGTGCTGGGATTAAAGGCGTGCACAACCAATGCCCGGCAGGATTTATTTTTTAAAAATGAATTTTAGTTACTAAAGCTTAGCGTAATTATTTTTACCTTATGAACATACAAAGATTTCAGGGTTGCCCCCCCCCCATACCCATAGACTTTAGAAAATGTGTATTTAGTCCAAGTGTAAGGTACATAAGTTATAAGGATTTGAGAAAGTAGTCCATATTGTCTCTTCCCGCATACTCAGCAGTGACCAAGCTTGCTCTTAAAGCCTGTAGCCCAGGATTTGAGAGGATGAAGCAGAAAAATTGTCTCAAGTTGGCGCCATTCTTCTATGCTACATAGTGAGTAGTTTGTTGTGTTTGAGTGCAGGGAATTGAACCCTGGAATTAAAAAAAATTAATTACATTTATGAGAGAGAGAGAGAGAGAGAGAGAGAGAGAGAGAGAGAGAGAGAGAGAGAGAGAGAGTGTGTGTGTGTGTGTACACGCATGTATGAGTGCATAGGCCAAGGGACACTCAGCGCAACTTGTGAGAGAGTTGGTTCTTTGCTTCCACCGTGTAGGTCCAGGAGCTTGAACTCAGGTTGTCAGGGTTGGCAACAGGTGCCTTTATCCCCTGAACTTCTCACTGGCCCAACCCATGAATTTATATAGCCTAGGCAAGAACTCTACCACTGAGCTGTGTCCTAGTGTCCCAGATGTTTTCCTCAAACTATTTTTAGATTTGTTGTGGAGTTCTTTGTTTTTTTTACTGTGTCAGATAGAGATGTACCTAAAACATTAGATAAACACTGTCAAAAATAGAAGCCATGTCATGAGTCTTCCCTACTTTAGTCATATCTTAAACATTTGGATTAGAAGAGGATGAAAGGTTTTTTGGTTTTGTTTTTGGTATTTTGGGTTTTTTGTTTGCTTGTTTTTTTGAGTCAGGGTTTCTCAGTGTAATTTTGGAGCCTGTCCTGGAATTCACTGTGTAGACCAGGCTGGCCTGGAACTCACAGAAATCTGCCTGCTTCAGCCTCCCGAATGCTGGGATTAAAGGCATGTGCCACCACCATCTGACTAAGGTTCTTCTTAGTATTTCATGTGAACTCCAGTTTCAAGGAATTTAATTGGTCCTGGAACCCCGTCTTTTCTTAGCAAGGACAATCTATTACAGAGTAACCGCTAAGCTAGAAAAGCATTTACCTCACAAAGCCCACTGTATATTTCAATTCTTACAGCCCCCAGCCATGCTGTGGAGAGCTTTGCTTTTATGCAGGGTTCACACTCTCTGACAGCCTCAGAAGGTATGCCTAGGTACAGCCATCAGGAGCCCTGTCTAGGCTGAAGCAGCAACTATTCTAGGAATGTCTGCTTTAGAAGTGAGGGCTCTGCCTGCATGTGCAGTGCCTCCTTTCCATAAGGCTCAGTGCTCAGGGAAGCCTTTGTTGGAGAGCTCCCACTGGGCCTTAGCAGAGTGTGAGTGGAGATCTTGAAGAGAGCCTCACACCTCAGGTTGCAGCATGTTCCCTTTCCTGACTGGGGCCTGTTGTGGCATCTTTGGAAAGGGAAGGTCAGAGCACTCTGATTTACCTCGTTCCTCTCCTCAATTATAAAAAAGTAATTCTTCAAAGACAGAAAAGATAATTGCATTTTAATTTTTTTCTTGTCTAAGAAAGCTCAGTAAAAACTTATTTAGCAGCCAGGGTCCATTGATGTCTTCCATTGTATTGATAGTGTGATGAATTGGCCAGAAATAGGGACACAGACTCCAAGGAGACATGAGGACATTTCCAGCCCACCTATGCCAACTACACATCTTTTTGAGGGGGGAATGAAAAGGTGTAATCTACCAGCAATCCTTAAAAAACCAAAAAACACTGGAAAGTGTTCTTCCATGACGTTTTTATTATTGGTTTTCCCTTTTCTTAGAATGTCTAGCTCGGGATTACCTGTCTTTACTAGTTTTCCCTCAGAGCTCCTATCCAAATACAGTATTTGGGAAAACTCATTTTAAAAAAGCACATTAGGTGGGCCTTTTGTTATTGTTTTGTTTTGAGACAAGGTTCACTGTGTAGCCCTGGCTGACCCGGAACCAGTTATGTAGACCAGGCTGGCCTGCCTCTGGCTTCCTGAGTCCTGGATTAAAGGCAACTCCACCATGCCTGACCACCTTGGATCCTTTATGCTTTCAGAAATCATTCCTTGTACCTCTCTCTGGAATGTTCAAGAATATTTCTGTTTGTTTTAAACATCAGTTTTTGTCTTCTGTGTGTTTTATAGTGGAGAGTCATTCCTGTGGATGAGTTTTCATGGAAAGTTCAAAGTTCCTCATTGATTTAGGATTTGGGGAAGGAGTCCTGTGTTTTTTACTCAAGAGCTCCCCAGGGTGCAGAATGGAGCTGCCAATGGGCTTGCTTCCAGGCATGCTCTGTGACGAAATAAAGGAGGTGCAAAAGTGGGTACAGCAGAAAGATTATTCTAGAATAGCAGATGCGGGGGCGTTCCTCTGAGATGAGAGGAAAATGCTGGTTTCTGTTGTGGTCCAGCTGAGGCTAACTGTGAGTAGGGATCGGTGGGCCTGGAGGTGAAGGTTCAGAGTAGCTTTGCAGTGTGCTTTGGTCCTGAGGCTGTGCTGGAAAGGATACAGTAACTGAAGCTGGGTAGATGCTGTTCTGGCTCACACCGTTGTCATTTTCCTAGGCAGTGTGTGAGATATGGAGATACTGGTAATGTGATGTTGCAGATATTGAGCTTTATTTGAGTGTGTCAAAAAAGAATATTTTTGTTTTTTTATTTGTTTTCTCTTTTTTTTTCAAAGAGAATATTTTGATGCTCGGTAAAAATATAAGATGGGAGAACATGAACTAAATTGGGCAGAGGACAGTAACTTGTCATTATTGATTTTTGAGACATGAATTGTTTGTTCCACAAGTATGTGGAGCCACTGTTTTTATTATGTGAGACAGAAAGGTAGTGTTTTCTGAAGATGTTTTCTGAAGATTAATCTGCCTCTGGTATGCAGGAGAGATTGAAAGGGATATGTGAGATGCTGAGAGCCTTTAATTAAGAGTAAGAATTATCCTGGACACTGTAATTTCTTAACTCCCGGAACGATAGATAGCGCTAAGTTTCTGCTCCTTATTTGGAAGACTAAGAGATAAGCTGACATTAAACTAAGCTCAACTTAGGTTTTATAGTAGTTAAAATTGTGTTTGCCATATGAAATATTATACTTTACCCTAGATGAATTAAAGAAATGGATTTTAAGTAGCACTAATCTATGCAAGAGAACATATTATGATATACATACATTAGAAAATCCTCCACTTTGGTGAATAACTTTGAAATGCGTAGGCTCGTGAGTAGACTCTGGTGTTATTGCCTGTGAACTTGTAGTCCTGGCTGCTATGGAACTCCCTTTGTAGTCCAGGCTGGTCTTAAACTTACAAGATCCACCTGCCTCTGCTTCCTGAGTGCTAGGATTAAAGATGTGCATTACTACACCTGCTCTGATTTGTGTATATGAAATGTCTGAAATAGTTAAATCTATAGGGACAGGCAGAGTGGTGTAGCTTTATTTGTTTGCTTTAGGAAGGCTCTCACGCTGTAGCCCTAGGTTGGTCTGGAACACACTACAGCTCAGGCCACCCTTGAACCTGTGTCCGCCCTTTAGTCTCACTGTGGAGATTAGTGGCTTGAGTGGGTGCAGAAGGCTGTGGGACAGGGATCATCAGCTGGATGTTTTAAGGGTGATGAAAATGTCTCGAATGGATGGATTGTCAGCCCATTTCAGGTGGGTGAGTTGTATGATGAGAACTGTGTCTTAATGACTCCTTGAGATAGTTAGAAAAAAAATTATTCTAGAGAAACGGTAAAACAGAGAAAAGTACAAAAAGAAAAAAGAGTGAGGTTTTTAAAAATTCTTCTATTTTTATTTCAGTGAAAGCTGGAGGAAAACAACCCAGGCTTATTCAATTTCAAGGTTCACAAAACCGCATTCCGAGGTATCGTGTCAGTGCTGCGGTCTACATGTGTTTATAAACCTGGGGTAAAATTCGTAAGTCATGCCTTTGGCACAACGCCACAGCTGCTGTGAGGAGCAAAGACTTCTCCATAGTCAACAGAGGAGACGGTGGGAGACGAGCTGGGTCCCTCTGCGCCCTTGTCCAGCACCCTGGAGCTGAAGGGCGGGCGGCTCAGGGACCCAGCTCAGTACGTGAACAGTGCTGACTAGACTGCCCCAGATGCCTTGATCTCATTGGTGTGGTTCTTGTTGCCTTACTTGTCAATGTGCTATGGCTTAATGGTCGTATTAAGAGCCATAGCATAAATAAAGACAGTTTTTGTTTTTTTTACATCTTTTAAGTAAAATTATGAGTAATGTCAGTGCTTAGAAGAGCATGACAGGCATTTTCCATGGAACTAGAAAAGAGAAAGGGTCTCTGTGGAACCTCGAGATTTTAGTGCTGAAGGAATTAAAGTTCACAGGGATCAAGTATCTTGTCTAAGCCATTCAAAGCAGTTACTAGAAGAGTGTGAAGTAGAATCCAATCCTTGGAATTTGGATCCAGCATTCTTTTCTTACCCAGCATGGTGATCCAGCCCTGTGAAGGCATGTTCAGAAAAACTGAGTTCAGAGCCAGACTGGGTGACATTTCTGTGCTTTTCTTGGTAGGCTTTCCCCACACCCTCTGCTTCTTCCCAGCCCTGACTAAAAGCATAACCCGTACTGAGAGTGTTTGAACCTGCGTGCTTGTGTGGTGAACTAGGATATCCCAGGACACCAGCTACATGTCTCAGCCCTGACTAAAAGCATAACCCGTACTGAGAGTGTTTGAACCTGCGTGCTTGTGTGGTGAACTAGGACATCCCAGGACACCAGCTACATGTCTCAGCCCTGTTATCCTCTTCCCCTACTGACCTTCCTACCCCGCCCCACTTTGCAGTGGACCTCATAGAGATGTGTGATAAAGGACATTAGCTTTGCCTTTAGCAGCAGCCCATGGAAACTTGGCCTTCAAAATTCATGGGAGCGCCAGCATGGAAACATTTGGCAGTCTTGTTTCAGCATGCTTTACTTTGAAAAGTTTCAGTGATTGAATTAGGTTTTTCTGTTTTTAGGATTCATTTTGCCCTCCCTGCTTTTTATTTTGATGGGACACTGCCAAGTTATATAGCTTTTGGGAAGATTTTTTATTTATTCATATATTTTATGTGTATGGGTATTTTGCATGTATGTACATCTACACACCAGAAGAAGGCATCAGACAGTTGTGAGCTGCCAAGTAGGTGCTGGGAATTGAACTCAGGACCTTCAGAAGGACAGTGAGTACTCTTAACCATTGAGCCATCTCTCCATCCCTTAGGAAGATTTTTTTAAGGTAGATATTTTCAATCTTGATAAGGAAAAGAACATGTCAGGAAGTCATTCAGGAGAAAAAGCTTTGGTGACTACCCATCTTTAGGATTGGTTCTTTATCTTTTTCTGGCTGGTACGTGCATGTGTGCATGTGGCTGAAATTAGAACTGGAGATTTTGTGCATGCTAGGCCAAGGTTTCTACCATTGAGCTATTTGCTCCTGATTTTTTTACTTAAACAAGGTCTTTCTATGTATATAGCCTACCCTTACTTTGAGCTCCTGACCCTCCTAAACTTAATTTCTAAATTTGGTTAATTTTGACTAACACTAGGATTCACTCTTGGAACTCTCCATGGAGCCCAAACTGACCTGGAACTCGGGGTCATCTCCCTGCCTCTGCCTCCAAAATGTTGAGATTATAGGCTACATAATCACACCCAGCTTGGTCTGACTTAGAGCTAATTTTTAATTTTAGATTAAAAATTCTTCAGGAAAAAAGTAATAATGATACTATTATCTTCCTGGTTCACTATTTCATGCCTTCTGTTCAAATTCTCCAAGAATGGCTCCATTTTTACTTGGTATCCCAAGTCATCCCTTTATTTTAGTTGTTTACCTTTAAAATGTCAGGAGCATCCTATTTAGTAACATTTATTTACTAATTTTATTCAGTTTCAATAAGCGTGGTCATTCTTATATGGAACCAGTTTTATTCCACTTATTTTACAGGGTCTCACAATGTGGAATTATCTAGGTTGCTTTTCTATGAGGTAGAAAAATCATCAAGAATGGAACAAGGATTGGGCTGGAGAGATGGCTCAGTGGTTAAGAGCACCTTGAAGCTCTTCCAGAGGTCCTGAGTTCAATTCCCAGCAACCACATGATGGCTCACAGCCATCTATTGTGGGATATGGTGCTGCCTTCTGACAGGCAGGTGTACATTCGGATAGAGCACTCACACACATAAAATAAATAAATCTCGAGAGAGAGAGAGAGAGAGAGAGAGAGAGAGAGAGAGAGAGAGAGAGAGAGAGAGAGAGAGAGAGAGAGAGAGAGAGAGAGAGAGAGAGAGAGAGAGAGAGAGAGAGAGAGAGAGAGAGAGAGAGAGAGAGAGAGAGAGAGAAGGGGAATGTCCCAAGTAAAACTGGAGGAGAAGAAACCAAATGGAAACCTTTGGTTAAAGTTGAACCTGGCCTGATTTCATTTGTCCTTATTTTAGAGTAGAACTTACAGCAGTTCCTTTGTATTCTCTGTGTATTTGTCAGCTTGTTCTATCAATATGCATAGCACATATGTTTGTAATTACAAACTCGAAATTTTCCCACGTTATGGTGTCAGAAAGCAGAATGAGTCCATTAATTTAATTCATTTTAAAAGCAACTAATTCATGTGTTCTTTTGGGAATTTTCTGCCTTGACCATATCATATTTAATCTTTCAGAGACAGAAGTACCCTTTTCTCAAGCTTCCCTTGTCTCTCTGGGTTTCTTAAGTAAGGTTAAAATACCATCTCATGTAAAAATATGTTTGTCTTTGGGTAAGAGGCAGTGAAAGTGAAATTTTAGTGTTATAGTTCAATTGGACAAGCATATGTTTAGTATCTTTATGTGCCCTGGGCTGTGTTGTGGTGAGGATTGCAAAAGACATGTTTCTGTTGCCATAAAAGCTTCAACTCCAGTTGGGCAATAATAGCAGCACATGCATGAAATAACTTGAAAGAAACCCTACAGCAAGAAAGAAGCAACACCGAGGTAGTGTATCCTGGATCCTGCAATACTGCTTCTTCCATTTACAAATAGTATCTGGAGATACTTCATGTACTCTCTGCATCAGGCATGCTTCACATTCGGCCAGGCTTTGCTAGGGATAGTATTGTCAGTTGCCCTTTGTGCTTCCCCTAGCTTGTCCAAACTCTTCAGTCTACCTTGTTACGGAGTCTTCAGCACAGGGCTCACAGTCTACCTGGTTACGGAGTCTTTGCCTTCAGAGACTGAATTGCAGGCTGCGGAGCTCTCTGCTGAAGTCCCTACTCTGAGAGCAGTGTGGCCAAGAATGAGTAACCTAACCTGTTAATACTTCAGTTTCCTTATCTAGGGTGTGGCCGCCGTGTTCATAGCAGTTGCCTAGTAGGATTGCTGTGAAAACAAATGATTTACGATGAGCTTGGTACAGAGTAAGCACTGTAAAATTTTTGGTGTTATTGTCTCTCTCCGCTATTGTAGTTACCCTTCACTGTAGAGTTAAGTAATCACTTGCTTTCATAAAGTCACTCATTGAAACCTAAGTTATTGGGTGTTTTGTGGTGCTGCTGACTACTCCATTCGTTTCCGCATGGAGTTAGTGTCTTGATGTTGTAAGAGAATGAGCATTTATCCTGTGGCCTGGAGATCCCTGCTCAATTTTTACTCTTTCTTCTTTCCCCTTCTGTCAGACATTTCTTTATTCTCCGTGGTCAGTTCTTGATTCTGTCTGTGTGTTCCCCATTAGCTTGTAAGTTAACTTTTTTCAAAGAGGAATCCTTTTAAATTTAAATAGTAGTAAGTGCGATGTATCTTGGAAATGCCAAACTTCTTGCTATCAGTAGGAAAGTAACACTTTCACAAATGACGAAACATGTTTTAATACTAGAATGCAGTATAAGATATAACTCGGGGTGCCATCTAATGTTTCTGCTGATTTAAAAAAAATCCATTGGGGAGTCTGGGAAAATGGCTCAGTGGTAAAGAACTTGTCACATAAATACAGGGACCTGAGTTATGGTCCCAGGAACCCACATGAAGCCAGACATGGTAGCACACATCTGTCATTCCACATGAAGCCAGACATGGTAATACACATGTGTAATCCCAAAACTTCCACAGTGAAATAGGTGGACATGAAGACAGACTTGGCAGTGCACATCTGTAATCCCAGAACTTTCTATGGTGAAATGGTAAAGAAACAGGAAGGAATCCTGAAAGCTCATGGGCCAGCTAGTCTGGCAATTGCAGTGGAGAACAGGAGGCCTTGTCTCAAGGTAAAAGGTAAAGACTGACACCCAAGGTTGTCCCCTGACCCACCCCCACACATACACATACATGCATGTGTGCACTGACATACACACTCACATTCTTCCCCACCCTCCCACCCCCACCAATAAAGTAATTGGTCTCAGGGTTTCTCACTAAAAGAGAAAGTGTGTTCATTCTGCAGCCATTCCTTGCTCCTGTGATAGACGGAGCACAGGAACTTTGAAGGAATGACAGTTTACAGGGATTAGTACTCACATCTGGGTTCAATCCAGTTCTGAGACTGGCTTGCTTGCTTGCTAGCTAAGCCAGAGCGGGTTACTTATTTTTTGTCTGTTTCCTTATCCATAAGCTGGGAAAGATAGTAGAGTTTCTATGCAAATGGAATAAAACATGCACAGAATGTTAGCATGTACCCAGCACTCGTTAAATGTTCAACAAATGTTACATGTTTGAGCAGCTATTTTAGAGAGCAGAGTGGCGGTATTTATCCAATGGGCTTGAATTTTAACTGCCCTGTGGGAACTGAAAAGGAGTCCTTGTATCTGAAGCAAGGAACCCAAACAGAGCATTGGAACGGACTGTGTCACACAGCACTAGGGCTCTTGAAAGTGGCGGGGAGGGGGTTGCGGGTAGG